GGGGAGAGAAAGGAATAGCCACGAAAACGACCAGGACGAGCACCAAGCATCGGCTCCTGGAGACAGACACAAAGGGGCGAAAACCGCGAAACCAGAAGTTGGAGTTCGAGGAAATTGGCGTAATAACCTCGAACGTTCCATTGAAGAATGGACAACGACGAGAAGAGAAAGGACAAAAACAGAGAACAAGGAAGAAACAAAGGCGAAAGACCAACAGAGCACGTTAAAGAATATCAGGGTCGGGATCAGGGTCAGCAAAGTCAGGGTTAGGGGGCATGGGTAAACTGAGCAAAGACGGAGGGAAGGAAACGGGAGAACAGATCAGAGGTGGGCGGGCAGGGTCCGGAGGAGGAGGAGGAGGAGGAGGAGGAGACAACGGAGAGGAGCAGTCAAGGACAGCAGCAGGAAGAGGGGGAGTAGAAAGAGAGGAGCACACCCCAGCAAGAGCAGCAACCGAAAGGGAAGCAGGGGCCAAAGAAACCTCCATAGCAGGAACAGGGGGCGCAAGCATTGAAACGGGAGTGGAAGGAGCAACAGAGCCAGAAGGAGCTGAGGAAGAAAGCGAAGCCTTCTTACCCGCCGGGGAAGAGGAAGGAGAGGAGCCAGGCTTACGCTTCTGACTGAAAGAGACCGGTGTCCCAGCAACTACGTACCGGGCAACGGATTCCAGTGTCTCAACAGGAGAAGCAGAACGAGAGCACACACGACGGCCGTTAGGAGAGCGATGGACATCCGCCCGCACCGACAGGCGGCGGGGAGAGCCGATAGATGGAGGAAGAGGATGGGAAGGAGGATCGGAGGGGGACGAGGAAGGAGACACAGAAGACACGACAGACCGGGTAGAAGGAAGGGGAACCCCAGGCAGAGGACCAGGAGGAGGATCCTTCGGGAGAGAACCCAAAGGGACAGAGGAGGGGGCAGTGGGCGCATCAGGGTCCAAGGCCTGGAAACGGTTGTGAGTCTGAGGAAGGCGGGAAGGACGAGGAGAGGAAGAGCGCAACACGCGAGCATAAGAGATATTAGCATAAGGCGGGAGCCGGCGAACCTGGCGCCTCGCCTCAGGAAAAGATAAACGCTCCCGGTGCTTCAAGTTGAGGACGGCTGCCTCAAGCTTGTAATGGACACACGCACGGGAGAAGGTAGGATGGGCCTCACCGCAGTTGAGGCAACGAGCCTGGGGAGAAGCGCACTCCGACTTAGAGTGATCTTCGCCACCACACAAAGGACAGAGAGAGACAGTCCCGGAGCAGCGGAGGGCACCATGCCCAAACCTCCAGCACTTGTTGCAGAGCCGAGGAGAAGGAATGTACTCCTGGACAGAGCACCTGGCACCAGCAAGAATGACAGAGGGTGGAAGGGTCCTACCATCAAAGGTAATCTTCACAACCCGGAGGGGCTGACGGCGACTACCACGAGGGGGACGAGTAAACGTGTCCACCTGGAGAATAGAATGGCCCTGGGCAGCGAGGATATGTCGAATATCGTCGTGGCAGTCGCGTAGGTCCCGAACACCGGTCGCAACATGGGGCGGGAGCAAAATAGTGCCAACACTGGCATTCAACTGGACGTTCTTCGAGACCCGAACGGGGGTCTCGCCAAGGCAGGATAAGGCAGCCAAGCGGGAAGCAGCATCCTGAGAAGGAGCAGCAACGACACGCGTACCGAGACGAGTGGGGTTAAAAGTAATGGAGGCATCCACGGAATCAATGAGATGTCGATGAAGGGAGAAATCGTCAGGAGGCGCAGAATCAAGAGGGAGGAGATCAAAATATTTGGCCCACGAAGCGGGACCAAACAAGGCTTGATAGGTAGCAGAACTGGAAGGAATCGAGCGAGGGCGGCCGTGACGAGAACGGCGGTGAGAACCCCCAGAGAGAGAGGGGTTAAAAGGCGCAGTAGTAACAACGAGAGAAGGAGCCGCGCCAGGGGACGAGGTAGTCACCACTGGGGGCTTGGGGCTCGACCCAACCACAGAGGAGGGAGGGGAGCCAGGGGAAGGAGTCAGAGAGGCCAAAGGAGGAGCAAGGTCGGGGCCCAATGCAGCGGAGGCTACAGAGCCCGGTCTTCCAATACGGACCGACTCGGGGGCTTGGTCGCCCACCCCACGAGCCTGAAAAGGTAAGCCAGAAACAGCCGAAACAGGGGTTATCATCTTGACGAAATTACGAATTCACTCACGAATGTGCCCCCACACCCACCATGGAGCCACAATTAGAGGCAGGACACCCAACAAGAAGCTATCGCCGATCTTGTCGGGGCCTCCTAGGGGTGCGTCGTGAGTATACGCCCCACAAACGCCACCTTAAGAAACCGACAGTCCGTCGAGATCGGGTTCAGTGACGAAGTGGGGATTGACAATAAAAGGTTCCCCTCGCTCTCGACGTCGGGTACCGCAGTTCTACGGGTGCAAGAGTATGCCTCCTCAAGCACCCGGGCGTCAAAGTAGAAGAAGTCCAAGGGAAGAACCAGAACGAGCAAAAGGTCGGCAGGAAACGGCAAGCAGATAGGAGAAGAGGGGGGGAAAAAAAACGAAACAGAAGGAAAAGGAAAAGCATGCCCAGCAGAATTGGAGAGGACGGCAGCAGGAGCACAAGGCTAGAAAAGGACAGAGGACTGTCCCAAGGAGCATCACACTCCGGCAGCCGCCCACTGGAAGCCCCCACGAAACGGCGACAACGAGCTGAGCGGGGAGGGGGTATTGAGGCTTACAGTCCCCAAGTGGGCATTTGAAGGCATAGACGACATTGGTCTCTTTTAAAGCGTTCTGCTTTGTGTCTGGAGAGTTTCTCATGAGTAGGCTGGCCGTTTTCTTGGTTTTATAGTAGATCGTCAATTGTATCTTCTGATTTTGTCTGTAGGGATAACGTTTCTATTAACAATATCTTTCAGGACCCTTTCCTCCATTTTATGAGCTGTGGAAAAGAAGTTCCTGTAAAATAGTCTAATAGGGGGTACAGGTGTTGTGTTAGTTGTCTCTTCAGAGGTTGCATGGCGTTTCACCTTCCTTCTTATGATGTCTTCAACGAAACCATTGGAGAAGCCATTGTTGACTAGGACCTGCCTTACCCTACAGAGTTCTTCATCGACTTGCTTCCATCCTGAGCTGTGGCTGAGAGCACGGTCGACATAAGCGTTAACGACACTCCTCTTGTACCTGTCTGAGCAGTCACTGTTGGCATTGAGGCACATTCCTATGTTTGTTTCCTTAGTGTAGACTGCAGTGTGGAAACCTCCGCTCCTTTCCATGACTGTTACATCTAGAAAGGGCAGCTTCCCATCCTTCTCCATCTCGTAAGTGAAACGCAACACAGAATTCCGCTCAAATGCCTCCTTCAGCTCCTGCAGATGTCTGATATCAGGTACCTGTGTAAAAATGTCGTCAACATACCTGCAGTATATGGCCGGTTTCAAGTTCATGTCGACTAAGACCTTTTGTTCGATGGTACCCCATGTTGAAGTTTGCAAACAGGACACCTAGGGGAGAACCCATGGCGACCCCATCTACTTGCTTATACATGTGCCCATCCGGGCTCAAGAAGGGTGTCTCCGAGCTCTCGGCCACAGCTCAGCATGGAAGCAAGTCGATGAAGAACTCTGTAGGGTAAGGCAGGTCCTAGTCAACAACGGCTTCTCCAATGGTTTCGTTGAAGACATCATAAGAAGGAAGGTGAAACGCCATGCAACCTCTGAAGAGACAACTAACACAACACCTGTACCCCTATTAGACTATTTTACAGGAACTTCTTTTCCACAGCTCATAAAATGGAGGAAAGGGTCCTGAAAGATATTGTTAATAGAAACGTTATCCCTACAGACAAAAATCAGAAGATACAATTGACGATCTACTATAAAACCAAGAAAACGGCCAACCTACTCATGAGAAACTCTCCAGACACAAAGCAGAACGCTTTAAAAGAGACCAATGTCGTCTATGCCTTTAAATGCCCACTTGGGGACTGTAACCTCAAAGAATTCAGTATATAGGCAAGACAACAACATCTCTTTCCAGGCGATTAACGATGCATAAGCAACAGGGCTCCATTAAGGAACATATAGTCTCTTCCCACAACCAGACCATCACCAGAGAAGTCTTAACAAAAAACACGGAAATCATCGATAGATAAAGCGATAGCAGGCGGCTAGATATCTGCGAGGCACTACACATTAAGAAGTCAACACCAGCAATCATCAGTCAATTAATGCACAACTATATTCTGCCCCATTCAAGACTCCGTACCAATACAGAAGCATCAAGAAATATGGTCCAATAGGCCCTTTGCAGTTACTTCCATTCTTCCCTTTAACTTACAAAATATTATACCCATTGTTTCGTGTTCTGTCTTGTGTTGAAAGTTTGTTTTCACCTCATCCAAAACTGTTGTAACATATCACCTCACCCAAATGCAGGTATAAAATCGAAGATGTTTAAACTCTGTTCAGTTATAGTTGTGTGTGTGTAAACTAAAGTCTTTGAAAATGTAATAAGTTTTACGAAACGCGCTCAAGTGTCGCGTCAGACTAGAAATAAAAATGAATTTTGGAGAATTGATTTTTCAGTTACCATCAACAATGAAAAAAAAATATAAGAAACATTGATAAAATTCGTGTTAGAATTATTAATCTTACTTTTTCGGTCATATTTAATAATATATGTCTACAGGAAAGACTGTTACCAAAATATACTAATGTAATGCATTATATATAAGGAACAAATTTTCCATTAAATATAATTTAAATGTGCATCTGTATAATTGAGGATTTGATTAAAATAATTTCTGTCACAATCGTACTCACGCAAGCATAAATGTGTCATGTAAACAGATATTTTTGTACACAAACACACGGTAGATTACGACTATGCAATCTAACACTTAATCTATCTTTACTCAAGCTTGGCAAGATAACACTGGGGCAGTGAGTCAGGTGCCCGGGACCACCACTGTGTCAGGTACCGTGACCTCCCGAGAAAGAAACCCAATTTTCTCTTTTTTTTTCCACAGAATGTCTGGGGGCAGCGGTGATGGCGCCCCGGAGAGGGATGACTGTGGCCGTGCGGGTGTGAGGAAGGACAGTCTGCCGTTCAGCAGTGAAAGGTATAACCAAGATAACAGGTACACCAATAACGCCAAGAACTCAATAAAACCTTCCCCCGTTGATCATGACCTTGGCGATGGACCATCGTTGTTGTCCATCAGTGTCGACCGTGAGGTCCTGCGGCTGCCAAGGGTTATTCCTCGCCCCTCCTGGAGGGCTGATCAGGGTTATCAAAGACTCGGAGTATGTCGCCAGAACACAAGTGAGGTTAACATGGAGTTAGAAGACTCTTCTCACAACCTGGAACATGGCGTCCGAGGGTCTCCAAAGTCGAATCAAGAAAGAAAAGAAAAAAGCCACCTTGATAGTGGTAATGACTATAATTATGATTATTCTCAGGAAAATTGGATTCTGCGAGATTCTATGAGCCAACATAAGAGGTCAGAGATGGGTCCTAGACGAGACCACATACCATTACCCAGACCTACAAGACGTGGTAACACACGACTGGACGCAAGGGAGCAGGGGAAGGTGACGCAAGAGCAGCCTCCACACGTCTCCCACCACTGGGATGACTGGGACGCAACACCAACTGACACAGAGGCCGTCAACCTACTGGTTGATTTACTGCCTTCTCAAATAGAAAGAAAAACAGGTATGTATCCTATTATACTTAATAAACTTTCATTGTTACTGAAGCAAAAACAAAAAGATTGTTGAATCAATGCTCAGTTTACCGTATCAAACATCACTTGTATACTATCATAGGAGCCTAAAGATGGGCACATTATATATATATATATATATATATATATATATATATATATATATATATATATATATATATATATATATATATATATATATATATATGTGTGTGTGAGGGTGTGAGGCAAGAGCCGGGTGAGTGTGTTATGAGGGTGTGAACTAGACATACAGATAGACATGCCACTTTTAAAACCCATCTTCATGTACTGTTTCTTAACATATCTTCCTATTAGCATAATATGCTGCAAGTAACTCCACTTCAGTTGCAGGAGTGTTCTCGAACACACACTAAATTATATCTCACAGTGTAAGGACAAGTATGTTGGTGTTCAGGTACTCTGAGGCTCCGGGGGGTGGCGAGGCCGGCGGACCCCACACACGCCCCGCGCTCACCACGACGCCCTGGACACCAGCGTGAGTTAATGACGCAATGTTCACATATTTATGCTAATGTGCAACACTTATCCTGTATTGCATTCATGTTATGATAGGTAGCATGGTGCAGGTGTTGCTTCTGAGGCTTCAGCTAACACAGGGCAATGCACTGCATGCATCTCCTTTGCAGTCATCGACGATTGTCGCATTATCAATAGACAGATTTCTCGTCAGCACTAGTGCACTACATACATTATTAAATATTGTAAAACATCCTTCTATAAGTAAACTTTCTAGCATATCTATTGTTGATCATCTTAAATGATGCCAACTGAGGCAGCGTTGGCGTCTTGCCCTAGATCACAGCGAGGCGGAGATCGTGGAGGCGCTGGAGAGGGTGAAGGAACAACCGTGGCCGATGGCCAGACGCAGGACGACACGGCAACAACTCCTCCAGGAACTGGTAAGAAACACAAGTGTGGAAGATGAGAGATGGAGGAAGCGGATGGAGGTGTGGTTCATCTTAGATAATAAACTGGTGGTGGAAGAGTTGCCAGGGGCGGGGTCCAGCACGGGAGGGATGCCAGGGGTGGGGTCCAGCACGGGAGGGATGCCAGGGGCGGGGTCCAGTACGGGAGGGATGCCAGGGGCGGGGTCCAGCACGGGAGGGATGCCAGGGGTGGGGTCCAGCACGGGAGGGATGCCAGGGGTGGGGTCCAGCACGGGAGGGATGCCAGGGGTGGGGTCCAGCACGGGAGGGATGCCAGGGGTGGGGTCCAGCACGGCAGGGATGCCAGGGGCGGGGTCCAGCACGGGAGGGATGCCAGGGGTGGGGTCCAGCACGGGAGGGATGCCAGGGGTGGGGTCCAGCACGGGAGGGATGCCAGGGGTGGGGTCCAGCACGGGAGGGATGCCAGGGGCGGGGTCCAGCACGGGAGGGATGCCAGGGGTGGGGTCCAGCACAGGAGGGATGCCAGGGGTGGGGTTCCAGCACGGGAGCGATGCCAGGGGCAGGGTCCAGCACAGGAGGGATGCCAGGGGTGGGGTCCAGCACAGGAGGGATGCCAGGGGTGAGGTCGAGCACAGGAGGGATGCCAAGGGCAGGGTCCAGCACAGGAGGGATGCCAGGGGTGGGGTCCAGCACGGGAGGGATGCCAGGGGCAGGGTCCAGCACAGGAGGGATGCCAGGGGCGGGGTCCAGCACAGTAGGAATGCCAGGGGCAGGGTCCAGCACGGGAGGGATGCCAGGGGTGGGGTCCAGCACGGGAGGGATGCCAGGGGTGGGGTCCAGCACGGGAGGGATGCCAGGGGTGGGGTCCAGCACGGGAGGGATGCCAGGAGCAGGGTCCAGCACGGGAGGGATGCCAGGGGTGGGGTCCAGCACGGGAGGGATGCTAGGGGTGGGGTCCAGCACGGGAGGGATGCCAGGGGTGGGGTCCAGCACAGGAGGGATGCCAGGGGTGGGGTCCAGCACAGGAGGGATGCCAGGGGTGGGTTCCAGCACAGGAGGGATGCCAGGGGTGGGGTCCAGCACAGGAGGGATGCCAGGGGTGGGGTCCAGCACAGGAGGGATGCCAGGGGTGGGGTCCAGCACGGGAGGGATGCCAGGGTGGGGTCCAGCACGGGAGGGATGCCAGGGGTGGGGTCCAGCACGGGAGGGATGCCAGGGGTGGGGTCCAGCACGGGAGGGATGCCAGGGGTGGGGTCCAGCACGGGAGGGATGCCAGGGGTGGGGTCCAGCACGGGAGGGATGCCAGGAGCAGGGTCCAGCACGGGAGGGATGCCAGGGGTGGGGTCCAGCACGGGAGGGATGCTAGGGGTGGGGTCCATCACGGGAGGGATGCTAGGGGTGGAGTCCAGCACGGGAGGGATGCCAGGGGTGGGGTCCAGCACGGGAGGGATGCCAGGGGCAGGGTCCAGCACAGGAGGGATGCCAGGGGTGGGGTCCAGCACAGGAGGGATGCCAGGGGTGGGGTCCAGCACAGGAGGGATGCCAGGGGTGTGGTCCAGTACAGGAGGGATGCCAGGGGTGTGGTCCAGCACAGGAGGGATGCCAGGGGTGGGGTCCAGCACAGGAGGGATGCCAAGGGCAGGGTCCAGCACAGGAGGGATGCCAGGGGTGGGGTCCAGCACAGGAGGGATGCCAGGGGTGGGGTCCAGCACAGGAGGGATGCCAGGGGTGGGGTCCAGCACAGGAGGGATGCCAAGGGCAGGGTCCAGCACAGGAGGGATGCCAGGGGTGGGGTCCAGCACAGGAGGGATGCCAGGGGTGGGGTCCAGCACAGGAGGGATGCCAGGGGTGGGGTCCAGCACAGGAGGGATGCCAGGGGTGGGGTCCAGCACAGGAGGGATGCCAGGGGTGGGGTCCAGCACAGGAGGGATGCCAGGGGTGGGGTCCAGCACAGGAGGGATGCCAGGGGTGGGGTCCAGCACAGGAGGGATGCCAGGGGTGGGGTCCAGCACAGGAGGGATGCCAGGGGTGGGGTCCAGCACGGGAGGGATGCCAGGGGCAGGGTCCAGCACAGGAGGGATGCTAGGGGTGGGGTCCAGCACAAGAGGGATGCCAAGGGCAGGGTCCAGCACAGGAGGGATGCCAGGGGTGGGGTCCAGCACAGTAGGAATGCCAGGGGCAGGGTCCAGCACAGTAGGGATGCCAGGGGCAGGGTCCAGCACAGGAGGGATGCCAGGGGTGGGGTCCAGCACAGGAGGGATGCCAGGGGTGGGGTCCAGCACAGGAGGGATGCCAGGGGTGGGGTCCAGCACAGGAGGGATGCCAGGGGTGGGGTCCAGCACAGGAGGGATGCCAGGGGTGGGGTCCAGCACAGGAGGGATGCCAGGGGTGGGGTCCAGCACAGGAGGGATGCCAGGGGTGGGGTCCAGCACGGGAGGGATGCCAGGGGTGGGGTCCAGCACAGGAGGGATGCCAGGGGTGGGGTCCAGCACGGGAGGGATGCCAGGGGTGGGGTCCAACACAGGAGGGATGCCAGGGGTGGGGTCCAGCACGGAGGGATGCCAGGGGTGGGGTCCAGCACAGGAGGGATGCCAGGGGTGGAGTCCAGCACGGGAGGGATGCCAGGGGTGGGGTCCAGCACAGGAGGGATGCCAGGGGTGGGGTCCAGCACAGGAGGGATGCCAAGGGTGGGGTCCAGCACAGGAGGGATGCCAGGGGTGGGGTCCAGCACGGGAGGGGATGCCAGGGGTGGGGTCCAGCACAGGAGGGATGCCAGGGGTGGGGTCCAGCACGGGAGGGATGTCAGGGGTGGGGTCCAGCACAGGAGGGATGCCAGGGGTGGGGTCCAGCACAGGAGGGATGCCAGGGGTGGGGTCCAGCACCGGAGGGATGCCAGGGGTGGGGTCCAGCACAGGAGGGATGCAAGGGGTGGGGTCCAGCACGGGAGGGATGCCAGGGGTGGGGTCCAGCACGGGAGGGATGTCAGGGACTCAACAAGGAACGTTGCCCGTAACACATGTTTTTATTACCTTGAGAAAATCCCCTGTGTCATGACTTAAGAGGAGTGTTTACCTGGAGGACTGTCGGCAGGAGGAGCAGGAGGCGAGGTGGTACTCGGTGCGTCCCGTGGCCAGGGCGGTGAGGAAGGGCACCACCTCACTCACCAACTTCCTCTGGGCGGCTGATGTGAGTACCGCTCTCCTTCCTTACTGCTTTTACCTTTACTTCACTATAGGAAATACCTTCAAGGTCATACTTCAGTTAGGCTCGTGTAAGCTGTTTGATTTGTAGTACATAGGTAATTATATTGCACGTAAAGTGACAATGAAAGCGTGCCTGCTAAACTACAGGGTGTTCTCCATACCCCAGAAGGATTCGAACCCAGCTGTCATCTCCAGGAAGATTCTATAACTAGGATAGTCAAAAATGCATATCAAATCGCCGGTGTAAATTTACCAGCCCATCCTCTTTTGAGGGAAAACAAGGTCCGGAAAATATAAAGTTAAATATTTTTATACCTAGTATAGCACATGCTTTACTATTTTAGGCCTAATATAGCATGGTTAGAGAGGTGAAAAATTGAAATAAGTTTATTGAGATATAAATGCCCACACAGGGATGAGATAGCTGGAACTATTCTCACCACCGTTCAGTGCAACGTGTTCATATTATATATATATATATATATATATATATATATATATATATATATATATATATATATATATATATACATATACATATACATATACATATATATATATATATATATATATATATATATATATATATATATATATATCACGGAGCTGAAGTTTATAACTTTCTAAAAAGTTATAAACTTCAGCTACTGGAATAGGGTAGTCTGTGCATTAAGCATTTGGCACTGAGTTTTCCCATATAACAGGAACCGATGAAAGAGCATCCGAGGTCCCACACTATCTCATTGCCTGGGAGAGGATTGGAGTTCTGGTTGGTTAAATACCCCAGAATTCCTACCTCTCTTATGGCTTTGAAGTATAGTGTAGTGGATACAGCATGCAACTGCCACCTTGTTGGCCAGTGTTCGAGTCCCATGGTGGGTTGAGTGTCTAAAAAGTTATAAACTTCAGCTACTGGAATAGGGTAGTCTGTGCATTATATATATATATATATATATATATATATATATATATATATATATATATATATATATATATATATATATATATATATATATATATATATATATATATATATATATATATATATATTCACACACACACACACACAATTGACGATCACAAAACACTGATCATTTTATGCGGAAAATCCACAGAGAAATGTGAAAGGAAGTGAACGTTTCGGCCTGATTAAAGCCGTTGTCCACACCAGACTGACTAGAGGAAAGAGAGGGAGGGTACAGGCCAACATTTGGAACCTGACCAACCCATCTCTAGGGAATCGAATACACGCAACCTGCTGTGTATACTATAAAAAACTTCCCTGGTACAGCAGGTTGTGTGTATTCATTTCCCTGCAATGATTGTGATTTTGTGTACCTTGGACAAACACCAAAGTCCTTACAATTGCAGTTGTCTCAACATGCTTATAGTATTAGAACTGCCCAAACGTCTAACGCATTGTATTTGCACACGAGTTTATGTGATCACACTATTAACTGGAATGGGGCGAAAAGCAGTACCAACTGTGTGTGGTTTCGTGGGACGGAATTTGATTGAGTCTGCTCTAATCAGTGTCCAAATCTTCTTAATGTTAGTACTGGTAAGTACAAACTTGATCCAATTTTAAGTTATAATATTGCACAACAGTTTAAGAAAAAACTCTAATAGCTTACAATGTCTCATTACAATTTTATATTCATATAGTGTGTGTTCATGAGGTTTTTCTTTAATCTTTCATCCTTATTCTCCGACCGCTTAATCCTCTTTGAGTATTCTAAGCTAAGCTATACCTGTTTCTGGTTAATTCCTTCCCTAGAGATGGGTTGGTCAGGTTCCAGGTGTTGGCCTGACCCTCCCTCTCTTTCCTCTAGTCAGTCTGGTGTTGACAACGGCTTTAATCAGGCCGAAACGTTCACTTCCTTTCACATTTCTCTGTGGATCTACTTATTCAAAGACGAAAACAAGAGGGACTTACCCGGGCGGGGGTCGACACTCACTCTTCAACTCTAAGTCAAGAAACCTGACTGCAACCGTTGACTTAAGGCGACACAATCCCAATGAAGCCCAGGAACATTTACAAGGTAGTGAGCGGCCAGGACCCTGTTCAACCTCCAAAAACCTTGTGCCTGAATGTCAGCCCAGGACATGTTACCAACAACGGCAGCCAGCACAGCAAACTTTTTCAACATCGTGGGTACAAGGATAGACCGCAGGCTGGCTGGACCAAATAACCCTGTGAACAACCTGGAAGACCCGAACCCTGGAGCAGGAAAGGAGGGGAAACTGGGTCAACCCAAAGCGCATCCCCGCCCACCGAGGCCGTGGTGTGTAGGTAACAGCGCAGAGCCACGACCGGACACAACACATGATGCCCCCTCGGCCTAACCAACCAAGCATCAACAACCCAATGATCCCTTCAGAAAGCAGCAGACTTATTCTTCACCAGACAAACAAACCTACTACCTGGACCAAAAGAACAGAAACCCCTGCACCAGAGGAGAGCATGAAGCTCCCTGACCCAATGCCCAGAGGCCAATGCCAATTGGAAAAGAGCTTTGGAAAACAATCTTGAACCGAAGGGGCCAACAGAAACCGAGGCGAAGAGAGAAGAGAGAGCACCTAATCCAACGACCAGGACAGCACATGAGCAGGCCAAAGGTGAAACAACGCACGAGACAGCTTGCAGAACGGCGTGGAAATAACATGAACGCCGAATGCAAGCTACAGTGGCTCCACCAGCGCCACATGATACAAGGCGACAGAATTCGGCATAAGATGATGGTCTTGGAACAATCACAAAAGGATAAAACAACCTGAACATAGACAGAAGTACACCTACAAAGGGACAAGAAATAATGGAAGGACAGCCAGGAGACTTCATACTGCCGCCAAGACGAAACACACAGGTGGGACACCATCAACAAAGCTACCTGCTCACCATACAAATGGCGATGGACTCGAGTCAGATACCAAATGTGAAGACTCGAGAAGATCAAACCAGCCATGTAACGGACTGGACCGATCCGCTGAAAGAGGCAGAACCGCGGGAAGACCCTAGGGTTCGGACACCAAGCAAGCAACGCCTGAAACTAAGGCTGAGCTGGCCACCAAGGAGTCAAAAGGACTACTCTCCCTTGGTAAGTCTCTAAGCGAGCTAGGCCCTGGAGTAACAGTGGAACTAAGGGGAAGAGGTACAGGTAACCCCACCTCAACCAGTCTTGCCGCAAGCCATCGACCTAGATTGCCTCACAGTTGGGGAAGGGCGCCATGTATACTGGGAGACGCCTCGACCACGCTGAAGCAAAGAGGTCCACCGCGAGGAGCCCGTACGTCCAGCAGAGCCCAATTGAATGAGTCGGCATCGACCATCCATTCCGTGGACAGGGAAAATGAACCGTAACAGGCCGTCCGCCAGGACATTAGACACCTGCTGGACATGAACGGCCAGGAGATCCAAACCCAGAGAACTCAGCAGACGAGTCACCTGAAGCGACCAACTCCAAAGAGCCAAGGACCACATCGAACCCCCTAGTTCAGGCAATGAACCACTGATGAGCAGTCCGAAGGGAGCCAGAGTGTCGATTCGTGACATCCACACTGCTGGAAGGACGGACCCCACCGCCCCTGGCCGGCCTGGTGAGCACCACGAAAAAATTGAAGAGGACGTCGGTGAGGCAGCAACTGATGCAAGGCTCTCGGAGGCTGAACCCAGTGATCGTGAGAGAGGTGGATGGGACGTCCCCCGAAGGAACCAGAACAGCCAATGAAGCCAAACCCGACCTGGCGGGTAGACTATCATGGCAAAGTTCAGGCTCCCGCACAGACCCTCAAACAACCGCTGGGTGACACGGGAGCCCCCCAAAACAAGCAAAGGCGGAACCACAGCCAACGCAGAGCCTCCGGAGCGAGAGACAAGGTAGCAGTCCGAGAGTCCCACACAAGACCCAGCGAAAGCCAAACCTGAGAGGGAACCAGACGGGACTTCCTCCAGTTCACCAGGAACCCAAACCCGGCGAGCTGGGAAAGAACCAAATCCCTAGTGAGCAGACACTCAGACTGGCTGGGAGCCCACACCAGCCAGTTGTTGAGATAGGCTAGAACCCTAACCCCTAAAAGACACAGATTGTCCACCACGACCTAGGTAAGGCGTGTTAACACTCAAAGTGTCAGGTTCAAGCTGAATGGAAGGCAACGAAAGCGGCAAACCTGATGCCCCACAACAAAACCGAGCCAGTCCCTGAACCTCGGATGAATCAGGATGTGCCAATATGCGTCCCAGAGGTCCTGGGACATCATCCAAGCGCCCAGCTCCAAAAGAGGCCGGACTTGGGACAGAGTAGTCATCCGAAAGGAGGGGCAATATACCCAGGGGTTCAGATGGGACAAGTCCTGAATGAACCACAGATCCGCACAGTCCCGTTTCGGGGCTAGGAACAGACAGGAAACCCACCTGAGGTTCGTCGTTGTTTCGACCACGCTCAAAAGCATCCAGTCCGAGATGACTCGACAGAGCACAGAAGAGGCCAGCTCCGAACACCCCAAAGGGTGAGGGGCCACCCAAAGCCACTGCAGACCATCGGAAACGACCCGAAACCCGCAAATCGTGAGACCAGGCGTGAGTAAACAGAGCGAGCCATCCCCTCCCCCTCAAGTTGCATAGACATTCAGTCCATTAAAGTAGCCTGCTCTGAGCACTCTAATTTTTTCAAAGTAAACGTGCCGGCCACTCGGGACACTCGATGAAGAGCACCCCGTGCGAGCCGGCGGGGCTAGTTAGCTGTTCGGAGCGTGACAGTAAGCACCAGGCGGTGTACCGTCAGTCCGGAACTGAGATCCAACTACGAGCGATCACATCAGCCAAAGAACTGGGGTCTGGGGCTCCCCATTCTCCCTCCAGGGGAGGGGGGAGCTCCCAGATGATCATATTTCATAGGATCAATTCTATAGTATGACTGCCGAGTTCCTTGTTTGAAACTCGGGAAGGAATCCCACCGCTATGCTCGCGACACACCGCGGCGACAAGCTTGTCCACTTGTCACCGCGCAGACAAGCGGAGTGGCGACGTGGTGACGTCATGCTCGTCATGCTCTTTTGGGGAGCTTGCCTTTCTGGGTGCCTGACCCGGTCGATGGCAGACATAAAATGCTTCCAACCACACGAGGGTTTCTATAGGACGTTGCTCCTCGTGCATCTCTGACGGGGGGGGGGGGGGCCAGGTTCTGGCTCGTGGTCCCCGACAGGCCTAGAACTCCATTCACATTGACCGATGCCAAAGTCTAATATATCTATGTCAGCCTGGATAGCTCCGGGGAGCCGAAGGGGCTCCCCCTCCCCCAGAAATATCATATAATTCCTCCAAGTATGAATCTTTAGTGCTAAGGTTATATTTCTTCTTCCGTGATAATTACTCCCTGAGTATCTGAAATTCACTCCACGGGGTTGTGGCTGCGTCTTTAGTTATTCTATTAGTAGTGCTTCAACTTCAAAATCTGAGCTAGACCACCACCCACCTTTTTCTTTCCACAGCCATTGCGCAGAGTGCTCAAGCGTATCGAGGGCAGGTTCGGCACGAGTGTGGTGGCCGTTTTCAACTTTATACGAAGCATGATGCAGCTTAACCTGGTGTTGGCACTGCTGTTACTGGGAGCAGTCGTGGTGCCCTCGGCATACTGGACCAAGAACCTCAATGACCAAGACTACACCTGGCAGGTCACTGGGGACACCTCACGCAGGACCAACATCATTTGCTCGGACCTCACATTGAAAAATAGCACAATGGTAGGAGACTTTCCTGTTACACTTAGTTTATGACGACAGAAGAGTCAGGAGGCATGTTATATGCCGCAAGACATGAAGCTCCAGCCTTCCTACACCTGCAGGAGGGTGTGGGGCTGAAGCGCCCCAACACCTGCTGGAGGGTGTGGGGCTGAAGCTCCCCAATACCTGCTGGAGGGTGTGGGGCTGAAGCTCCCCAACACCTGCTGGAGGGTGTGAGGCTGAAGCTCCCCAACACCTGCTGGAGGGTGTGGGGGCTGAAGCTCCCCAACACCTGCTGGAGGGTGTGGGGCTGAAGCTCCCCAACACCTGCTGGAGGGTGTGGGGCTGAAGCTCCCCAACACCTGCTGGAGGGTGTGGGGCTGAAGCTCCCCAACACCTGCTGGAGGGTGTGGGGCTGAAGCTCCCCAACACCTGCTGGAGGGTGTGGGGCTGAAGCTCCCCAACACCTGCTGGAGGGTGTGGGGCTGAAGCTCCCCAACACCTGCTGGAGGGTGTGGGGCTGAAGCTCCCCAACACCTGCTGGAGGGTGTGGGGCTGAAGCTCCCCAACACCTGCTGGAGGGTGTGGGGCTGAAGCTCCCCAACACCTGCTGGAGGGTGTGGGGCTGAAGCTCCCCAACACCTGCTGGAGGGTGTGGGGCTGAAGCTCCCCAACACCTGCTGGAGGGTGTGGGGCTGAAGCTCCCCAACACCTGCTGGAGAGTGTGGGGCTGAAGCTCCCCAACACCTGCTGGAGGGTGTGGGGTTGAAGCTCCCCAACACCTGCTGGAGGGTGTGGGGTTGAAGCTCCCCAACACCTGCTGGAGGGTGTGGGGCTGAAGCTCCCCTACACCCTCCTGATTTGAACAGATAACTCCAAGAAGCGTTCATGTTAATGCAAGAAAAGTAGTATTAATCAACAAATCAGGTCGTGGACGGAGGCGTACAGGTCGGGTCAAGGGATCAAAGTAAACAAATATTAAATAACTGCAAATGCGCCATAAACCTTGGCTAAGATTCCTCACACCTCAGAGCTTAGTTAATCCACTCATCCTGTGCTAGCTAACTCACCAGTCAGAAAGTGGTCCTCGCAATAGAATATACCTAGTGAGCAAATTCACAAGGGCCGTGACGAGGATTCGAACCTACGTCCGAGAGCATCCCACACGCTGCCTTAATCGACTGCGCTACGACATGGTAAAAGAATTGCAACCAGAAGTTCTACTTGGACCGCCTCTCCGAGACACAAACCAGGATTTGTTTTTTTAGAACCTCTGGTTGGAATTCTTTTACCGTGTCGTAGCGCAGTCGATTAAGGCAGCATCTGGGATGCTCTCGGACATAGGTTCGAACGCTCGTCATGGCCCTTGTGGATTTGTTCATTTGATGCATCACACTATTGTGATTTGTGTGTGGAATATACCTAGATTTACTGAAGCCAAAATGATACTAAATGTATGACCAAAAGATTCAGATTCAGATTTCAGATGTTTATTCAGGTAAGGTATATACATACAAGTGATGTTACATTAATGGATTGATATATAGATAGAGCTAGTACATACAATGCCTAAAGCCACTATTACGCAATGCGTTTCGGGCAAGAGGTGCCCGAAATTCAAATTTGAGAGGTACTAATTACTCCAGCTTTATGTCGTGTCACCTTCACGCAAGAAGTTTTCATCAGAGGTTACTAGATGCTTACAGAATAGACACCGAGGCAAAAAAAAAAGTTTTTTTTAATTTAATTGCTCAAATTATTTCTATGCTTGCACTTCTAATTTGTATTTGCAGAATTATATTATGCTCAGTTTCTCACTGCTGTTTTTCCTTCAGGCACGAGAATGTAACAGAAACTACACAGACTATATACAAGAAGAAGTGATAAGCCACAAACATAATGTAGCAGATCTCTTACAAGACTTTCTCCAGGGAACTGGCTTCCTGGAGTGGACGTTGCTCTTCGCCGGCTACTACCCTGCTTACGCCGGCCACAGTCACTACACCATCAGCTTGGCTTACATTCTTACTGTCCTCACCGTCTACCTCGTGTCTCTTGTGTATGTGGTGTACTTTGCGGCCAAATTCCTTCGCCAGTTCATGGTGTCGTCAAGTAAACATTCTTCGACTTACTCAAACACCATCTTTGCTGGTTGGGACTTCACGGTGAGCGAGGCAGCTGCGGCTCGGATTGAGCACACTATTTTTGTCTGTGGTGTGAAGGCAGCGTTTGACGATGAAAAGTACATGAAGAAGCGACTAGATCCTACAAGATGGGATCGAGCTACACTTTATCTCACTCGAGTTCTCATCAACCTATTGGTCTTGGCTCTGGCTGGAGGAAGTTGGACTGGAATTTACTTCCTTGCGAAACACTCCCAGAAGTTTGTAAGTTCTTCAACCGAAGACGTTTTTCAAGAGTTTATTTGGCAATACGCACCCACAGCGATAGTGGCCCTTCTGAACATTCTCTATCCTTTGATATTTAAATTTATGGTAAAATATGAACATTACAGAGGCCGTACTGAGTTACTGATCACTCTAGCTCGGTGTGCTCTTATCAGGCTAATGTCTCTATCCATACTTGTCGTTACGAAACTTACATTAATTTCTCAGCATGCAGATACCTGTGATCCCACAGTCAATAAATACATATGCTGGGAGACTCACCTTGGCCAGCAGGTATACTCTGTTCTGGTTCTGGACCTTCTCATTCAGACTGGCATGACTTTTGTGGTGAACACTACAAGATGCGGACTTGGCCGAATTGATAACGCAATATGTAAAAGGGTGAGCATAATAGAATTTGATGTCCCGGGTCACGTACTGGATGTGGTGTACGCCCAAGCCATCTGTTGGCTGGGAGTACAACACGTCCCACTCATGGCACCATTGTGTTTCATCTACTTCTGCATACTTTTCGTTCTTAAGTTGTTCACGGTGCAATACACTTGCGTGCCGGCGGCCAGGTTGTACCGCGCCTCGCGCTCCGCCGCCATGTTCATGACCGTCCTCTCCTTCGCCCTGCTGGTATGCATCATCCCTAACGGCGTGGCCATGCTCTCTCTCACGCCCTCCAAGGCCTGCTCACCATTTCGAGGACTCAACTACCAATGGCAGTCTCTTACCTACTATATCTGCAACATGGACGACTCCGCCTCTTGGATCAGGTGTGGGCACTTCAATTATATTTTGTAATTTATAAATATTGATAATAGTAATAATTCCCCTTGTCGCGGATAGGAAGCATATGATATTTAATTATTTATTTATTTTAGGCTTATAACGAGGTCCCCTCAAGGTGGAATTACCGACCCTCCCAAAGGGTGAAGGAAACTATCAGGAGAAAGCACCAAGCCCGTATGACTATAAAGCAGTGGGAAGGGGTGAGGATAAGGATTTGGGATGGGACGGGGGAAAGGAATGGTGCCCAACCACTTGGTCGGTCAGGGATTGATCCCCCATCCCATCCCAAATCCTTATGTTGATCCATTCCAAGTGCTATATTGTCATAACGGCTTGGCACTTTCTCCAGACAGTTCCCCAGAACGCAACAGACAGTTTGTAAGCCTCTGGTGAGACAGGTGGAGGTCTCCTGTAAGTACAAGCGCCTCTGGGTGACTCGGTGTGACTTAGGCTGAACTATGGGAAGTGTCGCTACCACGTTACTCTGACACTTGGTGCACACACCTGTTGCTGGGAAAATAAAGCTGCCGTAGTTTTTGTAAATTGAAACTGGCCAGCTAGTCACGTTCTGCCAGTTCCCTGAATGATGGGAAAGTAATCAAACTGTCAACAATAAAAAACTAGGGGGGGGGGAGGGTTGCCCCGGATAGTCTCTCTCACCGCCCACCATTCCAACCTTTCCCTTCCCCCTCTCCCCATTTTTTCCCTTCTCCCCACCCTTCCCCTTCTCTCCGCTTACCTCCATCTCCCTACTCTTACCGACCTCGAACACATCCACATTTCCATTTATAGATAAAGTAAATGATGTGACTGATGATAAACGGCGGGAGTAGCCTCAACACACTACGGGCAACACATGCTCGCTTTCATCCCGTTGTCATTTCAGACTATATGAAAATTGCACACGAGGGTAGGATACTGCACCCTGATATTTTTGTTAAAGGATTTAACTTAGGCCTACCTCGACCAGCCTAAGTCAGTCCCATACCCTTAACCATTCCCCCCTTCAAATTTGGATAAAGCCAGCCCCCCCAAGCATCTTACCTCCAACTTTGGATAGACAATCTCTCTTATGGTATAGATTATATATATATATATATATATATATATATATAAACATATATATATTTATTATATATATATATATATATATATATATATATATATATATATATATATATATATATATATATATATATATATATATATATATATAACTGAAAACTCACACCCCAGAAGTGACTCGAACCCATACTCCCAGGAGCAACGCAACTGGTATGTACAAGACCCCTTAATCCACTTGACCATCACGACCTGACAAAATGAGGTGATAGCCTAAGCTATTTGAACCACCCCACCGCCGGCACTCGGATAGTAATCTTGGGCATAGCATTTTACCAAATCACCTCATTCTTTGGGGCACACGTGAGGAACACAAATGCGAACAAGCCTGAATGGTCCCCAGGACAATATGCAACTGAAAACTCACACCCCAGAAGTGACTCGAACCCATACTCCCAGGAGCAACGCAACTGGTATGTACAAGACGCCTTAATCCACTTGACCATCACGACCGGACAAAATGAGGTGATAGCCTAAGCTATTTGAACCACCCCACCGCCGGCACTCGGATAGTAATCTTGGGCATAGCATTTTACCAAATCACCTCATTCTGTCCGGTCGTGATGGTCAAGTGGATTAAGGCGTCTTGTACATACCAGTTGCGTTGCTTCTGGGAGTATGGGTTCGAGTCACTTCTGGGGTGTGAGTTTTCAGTTGCATATTGTCCTGGGGACCATTCAGGCTTGTTCGCATATATATATATATATATATATATATATATATATATATATATATATATATATATATATATATATATATATATATATATATATATCTATAAAAAAAAACTGTCCAATGATAGAGGCCAATTACTTGGGGTTAGCCGCACCAAACTTTGCAAGATGACTGGTGGTGTTAGAGGGGTCGGGGTCGGCCGCCGTGGCCCCTCACCCTATACCAACTTCCCTCACTAAGAGTCACAAAGTATACTATTTTCTACATAATGATCAAGTGTTGTGAGCCCCAGAATCTATATATTGCCTAGACTAGGTACCCGGCTATGCCCGGCTAGTGAAGATACTAAGCTATAATACTTAGGCAGTGTATGTACTAGCTCTATCTATAAATCCATCAATGTATTGTATCTCACCTTGTATGTATGTACTTTACCTGAATAAACATTTGATTTGATTAAGATAGTTACATGAAGTCAGTGTATAGTGAAAATGGTTACGGTGAGGAAGGTCGTGTGTAGTGAGGATGGTTAGTGTTAATTGATGTGTACGGTATAGTTAAGATTCTTACAGTGATAATGACACTGCGTGTAGTGAGACTGGAGTTATGTAGTGCACATGGTTCTAGCGATGTGTAGTGAAGACGTGGCCTGGGCCGACACCCGAGCACCGCCGGGTACCAAAGCTAGTGTACATATAAACAAGAAAATAAAACATTTATAATAAGCTTGTCATGGTCCGTGACAGGTGGGTGTTGTGGAGGGTGGACGACGCTGTGGTGGGGGTGACGGTGCTGGTGGTGCTCTGTCTCCTCCTCCTCTACTACGTCTCCGTCAACAAGGCCCGCAGCGCCCTCGTCAACAGACTGGAGAAGAAGCTCAGACTGGCGGCCAAAGACAAGACCTTCCTCGTGCAAGACTATAAGCGTGCGGGTGGACACAAACACAGGGATACTTGTAGCATACCGGGAGAGGGGGAGAGGGCGTTCATCTACTCCCCGAGCCCGGCCTGAGGCCAGGTTCGACGCCAGGTAATACACTCAATAAATGATAAAAACAACAACACACGATGGTAGAAATACATTTCTAAAAATTATACTTTTTTTTACACAAAATTAAGTTTCCTGAAATGATTCCAGAAAAGTTTTTAATATACAATACTTAAATGCATCTGCATTTTTGCAGAGCCTAAATTATTATACGGAGGGTTACTAACATGAACCTACACCCATGTCGCCGTTAGCGCCCTTACCACTAACGCCAGCAAACACCCAGACAAACGAGAACATGTACTCTATAGTGTAATTAGGAAATATTCCGGAAACAAATTTATAAACCATTAGTATGGTTCTAACATTAGTTAAAGAAAGTGACCCAACAAAGTGTACAGCAGACAACTGGCGCAAGTGCTCCTAGTGTGGAAGGTGCTCGAGAAATCTGTGAAACAAGTGAAGATAATAGTTACCATTCACCCTTTACAGAAAAAGATGCCAATGATGAATTTGTAGGAAAAGTCAGCACCGCTCCAGTCATGGAAGGACAACGGAGTCTACTACATTTGGTTAAGCATCTATGACATTAAATTCACTAGGAGTCTAATCTATGAGGAAATGTCTCTGTCCAAAGTTGAGAGCCTGACGTTAGGGGCTTGTCACATTCATACCCTCCACGATGATTGTCACATTCATACCCTCCACGATGATTGTCACATTCATACCCTCCACGATGATTGTCACATTCATACCCTCCACGACGATTGTCACATTCATACCCTCCACGATGATTGTCACATTCATACCCTCCACGATGATTGTCACATTCATACCCTCCACGATGATTGTCACATTCATACCCTCCACGATGATTGTCACATTCATACCCTCCACGATGATTGTCACATTCATACCCTCCACGATGATTGTCACATTCATACCCTCCACGATGATTGTCACATTCATACCCTCCACGATGATACCCCCCCCCACGACGATTGTCACATTCATACCCTCCATTGTCACACTCATACCCCCCCCCCGACGATTGTCACACTTACCCCCCCCCCCGACGATTGTCACACTCATACCCCCCCCCCGACGATTGTCACACTCATACCCCCCCCCGACGATTGTCACACTCATACCCCCCCCGACGATTGTCACACTCATACCCCCCCCCCACGACGACCCTACCCCCCCCCCCCACGATGATTGTCACATTCATATACCCCCCCCCCACGACGATTGTCACATTCATACCCTCCACGATGATTGTCACATTCATACCCTCCACGATGATTGTCACATTCATACCCTCCACGATTGTCACACTCATACCCCCCCCGACGATTGTCACACTCATACCCCCCCCCGACGATTGTCACACTCATACCCCCCCCCACGACGATTGATACCCCCCCACGACGATTGTCACACGACCCTCCACGATGATTGTCACATTCATACACTCATACCCCCCCCCACGATTGTCACACTCATACCCCCCCCCCCCGACGATTGTCACACTCATACCCCCCCCCCCGACGATTGTCACACTCATCCCCCCCCCCCCCCCCGACGATTGTCACACTCATACCCCCCCCCCGACGATGATTGTCACATTCATACCCTCCACGATGATTGTCACTCCACGATGATTGTCACATTCATACCCTCCACGATGATTGTCACACTCATACCCCCCCCCGACGATTGTCACACTCATACCCCCCCCGACGATTGTCACACCTCACACGATTGTCACACTCATACCCCCCCCCGACGATTGTTACACTCATACCCCCCCCCCGACGATTGTCACACTCATACCCCCCCCCCCCGACGATTGTCACACTCATACCCCCCCCCACGACGATTGTCATATTCATACCCCCCCCCCCACGACGATTGTCACACTCATACCCCCCCCCCCCCCCCCGACGATTGTACCCTCCACGATGATTGTCACATTCAAAAAAGGCCTCATTTTCTTATATAAATATTTACCATTATTCATTGATCTAGGGGAAAATAGTTTACTGTGGGAGGGACAGGTTCAGAATTTAATTTACCTGTTATTTAAACTAAAGTCACGATCCCATAAAACATGTTTTGCCCGAAACACTATGAGTGCTAGTGGCTTTACAAGAATGTTAATTCAACTTATTTTCTATATTCTCTGTTAACCCCCAATGTAACTTCTTGTACATAAATAAATAAATAAATGTAAATTAAATTCTGAGCCTCACCCCTCCCATAGAAAACTAAACGCCAAGCTATAATTTCGAAGGGGGCAACTTTTTTTTTTTTTTAGAAATATACAAGAGTTCTTACATTCTTGTACAGCCACTAGTACGAGTAGCGTTTCGGGCAGGTCCCTGGAATATGTAGGTTAGACATATATCCCTGGGTGGATATATGTCTAACCTACGCTTGAAACAATACTGCGATCACAGTACAATGTTACCTGGTCATTTGTTTCATAAAGCAATATCCGTTTCCAAACCAGTATTTCCCCAGTTCTCATGGGTCAATAGAACTTCTGCAATTAACACAATTAGTATATTTCTATTATCTATATTATTGTTAGTATTGTATACTAATGATTGCCATACTAGGATGGGAGTTAACTTTTACTCCAGATAATAAGCAAAAAGCTAACCAATTTATCTCAAGTTTATATTTATGTTTTTAGTCTCGATGATTCAAACACATTAGGGGGTATATAAATTTTAATTATAAGTTTATGAGATTGATAAATGTTGATCTAATAAATAACTTGTAATTCAAAATTAGATAACTTTAACCTTTTGTATTTATGTTTGGCAAGTATGACAAGGGTAAATTTAAGATTAGGAAATGAATTAATAGTTTAAAATTCAATTTTGGGCAACTCTAACCTCGTATATTTAATCTCAGTAAGTATAAAAAGGGTAAATTTAAGCTTGCACGAGGGTAATTTTACAAATAAATTATACAACGAATACATCAATGCAAGGTGCAGTGGCAGAGGCAGAACCTTGCTAACAGGAGGTAACAAGCAGGCACTTCATGGAGCAACAATGACACAGTAAACTACATCCTGACCTAAGCCAATAAAGGGAACATTGCTTGGTTCTTAACGCCCGAGGAAATAGCATACGAAGATGAACTCAAGGCTTATCAGAGGAACCCATATGGTACACATGGCTTCCAGAGGCAAGCTGGGTAATTACCGGACACAAGGTAACTGTAGCACACAGCACACGCTAGAGAACTACACAAAGCAGCAACTGGTAATGATAAATCTATTTAGCGAAAAGTACATACATACAAAAATGAGCTACTAGCAGAATGTTTGATTTCTAAATCAAACAAGAACCCTGTATATACTTTGCCTAAAGCCACTAGTACACACAGCAAAGCAACTTGACTGTAGTTGTGTATTGCCGGGTAGGGGATCCGGGGGACTTCCCCCCCCCCTTTTCACTGCCATAAACACTGAAGGGGATGGGAGGGGGGGGGGGGGGTGAAATGAGCCAAAGGCTGGGAAGAGGAGGTAGGGGTTTTGACGAGCACCAAATTGGAGGATGGGGTGTGCACATATGAGAGCTGACTTAGTCTGGCTTGCACTGCGCGCGCAGGTGTTTGCCCTCATACCTGCTAGGCAAAACACATGAAACTATAGTGTTTGAATTCTCTTTTTCAAAAATCCGAACGTCTTTGGACACCGTTAATTTTTTCTGTTTTATTTATAATACTTCGGTTACTTGTGTAGTTAACAACACCTTAAAGGTGTTGTTAATGCTTGTGCCCGCGTCCACCTTTATAAATTTTACCCAAACGTTTTCTTTTTTCAGCATTCCCACCCGACACCTCATCCCTGACTGCACTCATCCTCAAGACATAACTGCAACATGCTTGTGTCTGAAGCAAGGAACAGATATAATAAAATCGTTAATGATATTATAAGTGTGTTTCATATTATCGAATCCTATTTTGGCCTCCGAATGCATGCTAAAATTTATCAGTTATCCAAAGATAGTTATCCAAACTGTTAAAGAGCTTGCTATCATGCTGTAAGCAATACAAGGTTGAATACCTTTAACCTTGGATTACTTTTGAGCAACCCAGGGCAATAATATACTAAAAGCTCCAACAAAAATTAATGGACACGAGACGGCAGACTCAAAAGACGTTGCACTACACAAATTCTTTCCGGAGCCTCACCCGTTACCAAAGCAACAACCTGGCTTTGTTTTCCACCAAGAACACTGTTCCTCTTTGCCCAAACAACACTATCATTGTTGAGAAGAAGATAATCGGGATCCAATTAAGTTGGATACTTAAAAACTATGACCTTGGTGTGCATAAAACCTTCTTCCGGAGTAACCATCACGATATTCTCATACCCAACCGTCGTTAGGTGTTCCACGGCCTTTTCTGTCCCAACTGTTATGTAGGGCCGGTGAAGACCCTCCTTGAAGAGTGGTTCATATTCAAAACACTCCTTAGCCAGACGTACCGCCCACTCCAGCTTTTGGTGGAAGTTCAGTTGGCATGTTGTAGGGAATAACAGCCGCTTCCTTCTACTAATCTGCGTGTCTTGCGTCCTACAGGGCCGGGTTGCCTGTTGAGAGTTCCTGGGAGTTTGCACCACTGGTTTCTCCTGTCGTGGATCACAGCAATTTTTGTCTCTTTTTTTTCATTTCCTCTTCACTATCACGGTCTCGCTGTCTATAAAACTACGCCGTTTCTTCCTGGACATTGCAACGTGGTACGGCCTGGTATCACCTTGTACTTGAAAGTCATCATCACTCATCAGTCCTAGTCCCGTCAGTCTGGTTGATGGGATTCTGGAAGTTCTTCTACTCCCCAAGCCCGGCCTGAGGCCAGGCTTGACTTGTGAGAGTTTGGTCCACCAGGCTGTTACTTGCAGCGGCCAGCATACCCACCACAGTGCACGATTGTCTATCAGTGCACGACTGTCTATCACTGAGGCAGACAGCCTCTGCCATTTCCCCAACACGCAAATGCACTGTATAATTGTAACAGTTGAGCACAATTTCACAATATCCACCGCGACCGCACACGACCGCGGGCTGGTCACGACTCTTATTTCTAAGGAAATAAGTAGTGTACCACATCAAATTGTTTGGATGTGTGATAATGGTATGATAGACAGTATATTAAGGAGCTACAAGAGTTTTGCCCCGAGAGTGTAACAATTATATGCTGTACTTACTATATTAACCTGCAATGTTCAATGGGATACTTGTATTGTGATGTGTGTATTTGTACTCACTGAATTTGTGCGCCCCTTGAGGGACTTGAAGTAGAGGGGGGGGGGGTAGAAATAGCCTAAGCTACTCTATCCCTTTAAGATGTATTTCTTCTTGTCTCAATAAACATACTTGAATTTGAACGTTGCACTACTGAACTTCAGCTAAATTACAACTACCACTGAGAATTTAAACCATCTTCTGAAGTAGATCTGACTGAACTGTATCTTTGTAAGCAATATTATTCACATATGCCTTCGATTAAGTCACTATGTAATTATGTGTGAAAACATTCAATAACGTTTTAACTATCACAAATGATCCAGAAACGTGTGTTTCATTTAGGTATATAATCCGTTATATACAACCTGAAATCTTGGTCAAATATCCCAAGTGTAACTTGTGTAGGTACTGCACGCATATGACGGTAAACTTTCCACTCCTCCCACTGCATGGGTGTAGAGTGCATGATAGGCAAATTAATTATATATATATATATATATATATATATATATATATATATATATATATATATATATATGTCGTACCTAGGAGCCAGAACGCACTATTCAGCCTACTATGCAAGGCCCGATTTGCCTAATAAGCCAAGTTTTCATGAATTAATTGTTTTTCGACTACCTAACCTACCTAACCTAACCTAACCTTACTTTTTCGGCTACCTAACCAAACCTAACCTATAA